ATGATAGCCCTCAGATCTACTGCTCCTCTCTGAGCTTCTAAGAATATCCTGGAGTTTCTTTCTTCCCAAAGTGTCCAACATACTGCAGCCCTTAGTCCTCTCCACATTGTCCTTCCCCTTTTTATCCGCCACCTAAACAGAGAAGGGGAAAAAAGGCCATGCAAGTCTGATGGGGGATTCCAGCTACATCCAAATAGGGACAGAGCCCATTCCCACATTGACCTTGCAAAATGGCAAGACACCAGTAGGTGAAAACCAGTCTCCCCATCCGCTTTACAAAGAACACACCACTGAGGTGACAAGCAAGTATTGGGTCTCTTCTTTTGGAGTAGATCACCAGTGTTGATTCTTTCCAAATAGGCTTCCCAACAAAAACTACCAACCCTAGGAGGTATTGCTTTGCACCAAACCTCATCAACAGGAAAAGGAGGGAAGGTAGGACTGGTGGACTGACTTAAGACTTTGAAGAAAGAAGCACAATAAAAAATGCCGTTGGGAGAAGGTGTCCAAATTCTAGAATCCTCCCTAGTGGGGTCTAAAACAACGTTATCAAGAATTGCAATAAAGCTCAAAATATTGTCAAAGTCTGAGTCCCTCAAAATAAGAGACATAAGCCTCCCAAACACAAGGCGGTGTAAGCCTCCTTAAGAGGGGGATGACGAGGAAGAAAAGGAAGGAGGATTTCATTTTTCTTTATTTCTAATAAAAATCTTTTATATTAAGAAGAATGAAGATGCATAGCACTAGTACAAAAAAGCCAAATTGGGCTGCATCGAAAAGGGCCTAGGGGTTTGGGCTCTAGGGGGCTTTGCCCCCCCCCCCCCCAGTCAAGAGGGTCCAGGAGCTGAGCCCCCAGTCCACTTTCTTTCCCCTGATCTCTTCTTCCCTTCCCTTTCCTTTTCTTTTCTTTTCTTTCTTTCCTCTTTCCTTCTTTCTTCTCTTTCTTTCTTTTTCTTTCCCTTTCCTTTTTTTCTTTTTTCTTTTTTCTTTTTTTTTTGTCTTTTTATATGAGGTGTGCATGAGGCGCATAAGGTGTATGAGGCATATGCCTCTTGCACCTGAGGCGTACACCTCAAAGGTGTCAATGCCTCTGGCATACACATTAGGGCATTTTGGGGGCTCCTCGCCTGGAGGCACACCTCCCACACATTTTTAAAACACCGTTCCTATCATAAGATTCTCTGAAGCTTTCATCAAATCATCCTTTACAATTTATCAGCAATGTTGAAATAAACTCATGGAAAAACCATCAGGTCCCATAGCATAATTTATTTATTTGTTTACTTGGAATCCTCTCTCAAACAAAAGAGGGAAATGTAAACCATAAATTTCAATAGGAAAATTCTGCAATTAAATGTTGTCTGGTTTAATTTGTTCATTTATACTTCTAAGTCAAAATCAAAAGGTTTTCTATGCCTTTAGCAAAGATTAGGGTTTTCAATGGACTCTGAAAATCTGAAACCCAATCCTACTATCTTGGATTCGTAAGATTTGTTTACACAATCGGATCAGATTTGGATGTTATAACCAGCATTCAATTAATGATCAGAATATATATGGATTTAACCCCATGGTCCCCGTCCCATCTAATTAAGGTCCAAGTTTGTTTAATTTTTTTATGATATAATATATATAATCATATAAATTTATACTAATAAATTCAACATGTCATATTTATATAAAGTTTAAAAAGTAATTAACTTTTATAAATTCTTTACTCAGATTAAATCCAAATCCAAACTGAGCCTAATAGGATTTGAATCCAATTTGAGATCCCTAGATCCATTGAATTTTGGATCAGATTCAGATTTTGATTTTTCAATAATCAAATTAGATCTGGTACAGATGTGACTGGATCCAATCCAAATCCAACCAAATTATAGCCCTAGTGGAGTTGTAAGGGAATATTTGCATGATATCTAGAATGGGGGCTTACCTAAATATTAAAAACCTAGTTGCTGGTCTAACTGGATGAATTATGTTATGTGAGAAATCCATCAATCTTTTCTATTAACACCACCTTATGAAGTCCTTAGAAAGCTATCAAGACTTCTTATCAATTTTGTACCAGTTACAAGGGGGAAGTTCTAGGAAATCACTAGAATGGAGATACCCCACTTTGTCCTACCCTAGACTAGAGTTTATAATCTCTCAACCTTAAAACACAAAACCATTGTTGATTTGTTTCAATTGAGGGCCAAGATCTTGGAATCAAGGCTTCAAAGGGGGTCTGAGAGAACCCAAAATTTTTAAGATTGTTGACTTGATATAATGTAAAGAAGGGGGTCTTGGAATCAAGGTTTCAAGGCTGGATAATAAGGTTTGGATTCTCAATACCAATCATAACCTTTTGCTTCCCTCTTTCTTTAAGACAATCAAACATCTGTGACGCACCCATTTCCAACTAAAGCCTTATTGATAGGGCCTACTCCTCCAAAGATGACAGGTTTTTTGTTGGGAGGCAGCCTCTCAGACAGTCAGATCATTAATACCTAGAAGAGACTACAAAGGAAATGGAAGACATGATGTTTGTCCCCTGATCTGTGCAACCTATGTCTGAAGAATGAGAAAACACCAATACCTTTTTGACTTGTCAGTATGCCACTCAAGTTTGGAATGACTCCTCTTTGGAGGTATTTGGATAGTACTACCAAATATTATAGCTCTTTTCTCCTCTAATATAGTTGCATGTCACATAAAAAGGCCAAAAAAATTGTGATATTGCACTCGAGTAGTAACTCCAGGAGTTTATTGGAGAGAGAAATACTAAAGTTTTTTTAAAATAAAGAATTAACTGTGGATTCTTTAATTGAATTTGTTGTGGTAAGAATTGTACATTGGGCCTTTTGGTGTGTGATGAATTCAGGAGTCAAAATTGATAATTGTTAAGAGGATAGCAGATTGTGAATGGTTGTCACATAAGAAGCCAGCAGAGGTAGGTTGAATGGAGGGCACCTGAGATGGAAAGGCTGAAACTCAATTTTGTCAGATGCAGCCTTGGCAAACAGGAACTTCAGGGGTGGTGGGATGATGAGAGACAATAATGGCAATATATTTCTCAGCTTTTCATGACCAAATTATGAAAAACAATTCATTGATGGCTGAACTTTTAGCCATTATTCAACACTTAAAACTGGCAGCAATGCAATGATGGAAAGATTTATTGTAAGAGAATGCCAAATTGTTATTTCTTGGATGAGAACAGAAATAAAAATACCTTGGTTGTATGCACCCTTAAACAGGAACATGCTTTAGGATGCAACCTGAAATGGCTCATTCAGGTCAGTCCCTAGGACCGCAAATGTATTGGCTGATGCTCTAGCAAAGGGGCATCAAGGGAGAGGTTGGGGATACCTTGCCTAGGATTGAAATTGTAATTATTTTATTGTTATATTGAATCGGTCAAGGATAGCCTTATATTTCTGCACTACTATTCAATTTCTTGGGAAGAATGGTTTTCGATTTAATACATTCTTTTCTGTTATCTATCAAAAAAATGTTTCACTTGAACCACCAAAAAACATAGCATCCAAACCAAATACAACTAGAAAGGAACAACATCATGAAAGAAGCAATCTCCAGGCCTTTTAAGCTAGATCCACTGAATCTCTCCTGCCTTCTGAGTAATGAAATTAAATTTGCTTATAAGAGAGGGAGAAAATAGTGGACCTGGTGAATACAAGTTGCCCTCAAAGTCCTCTCTTGAAACGCCCTTGTATTCATGATGTGAATGGTTATGGTTTACAATCATGTCTTGCACATCATGAATTCTAGGGTATTTCAAGAGAAGACAATATACAAGCATCATTCAATATTTGAACTTCATCAGCAGTAAATGACATCATTCAGTATTGAAAAGTCAGCAACAAGACAATTCAAAGAAATCCAACATCATACCATAACCATCCATATATCTGGCTCTGCCTGATAAAAGACATGTGAGTGCCTCTCTGCTTCTATGACCTCACAAGCAGCATCTGGAGAGAAAATCCTGCATAATACTAATGTTATGACTTTCCAAAAAAAAAAAAAAAAAATTGTGAATAACAGAAGCATCTGCATGCACTATAATATTACAACAAAAAAAAGAAAAGAAAATTAACCTTCACAGCCACATTCACTCCAATTGCCTTTGGTTACACAATAGTCACCTTAGTTTAAGCAACTCCATAAGTGATGTATTTTTATTTTATTTACCTACTTCGTCAAACAAAGCGTGATTTATTTTATTTACTTACTTCCATGTCCAATTATTAGCAGTTCCTTGAAGAACCCATGGACCGTCGGAGTTTGACAATGTGTCTGACATGGGCACTCCATACCTGCTGTTCTGAAATTAATGAAATAGTGTTTTATGAGAGTTTTGATTTTTTTGAATTTTCTGCTCCTAGTTCTCCCGTATCTGCTGTTCCCATTGCTATTACATTGACATGAACAGTATCAGCAAACAGTGCCTACTAGTTAAGAATACCTATTTCAGGTTTGATTTGCTTCCATGCCCAATTATTAGCAGCTCCTACATTCTGTCTGCATTAGTTTAGATACCCAGAAAAACAATTAAGGGTCCTTTTGGTTCCCTGGAAATAGGTGCCTGGAATCAGAATCGGAATGGGATTCCCATTCCAGAGTCTGTCAATAAATAAAGAACTCATGACAAAAAAACTCCAAACCCTAATACTAATAAAACAAGAATATATTAATAATTAAAATAATAATAAACATTAATAAAATAATAGTACTATAATAAAATATTAATATAATATAATTAAAGTAATAATAAAATACTAACATAGTAATTATTAAATAAACAAATTAATAAGAAAATAATATATTAATAAAATATTCATAAAATTAATGATAAATACTAAGACAATAATTATTAAATACTAATAAAATAATAATTATATATTCATAGAATATTAATAGAGTAACAATAAAATAATAAATAGACAAACAAAATTGAAAATTTTCAGTTGATTCCAATTCCAACTCCAAATGAACCAAACAGCAACAATCAGAATCCAACTCCAATTCCTGACTGAACCAAACAGACGTTAGGAATAGGTGATTTCGATTCCGATTCCTGGGATTCCAATTCCAAATCCAATTCTGGTCCTGTTAGAGAACCAAACTGACCCTAATAAAAGTATGATTTTTATTTTTAGTTTTACTATAAAAAAACACGATTTTTATGTTGATTCCCAATTGTTTTAAGCCGTTACCAATTAACATTTTTAGTAACATCCACTAAATCAAATGCAAAGGTCGACAAGGGAGATGCTATATGGCTCTCAAAGTGGTTTAAATCATCTAATACCTTTCAATTATATCATTAATATGAAGAAAACCAATTTTAATTAGATTGAAACATGGAAAAGATAGTTTTTATATATATTTTTTACAGTAAAAGAAGAACTGAAAAGAGAAAAAGAGTAAGAAAGTGGAGATAAACAGAAAATGTGAGAAATCCCCAACCCACCACAAGCTATATAAGCAGCATAACACCAACCTCTTAAGAAACAAATCCATAAGATATATATCATATACCTAATAACAGAACTTCTTCATGCTGATAGACTTGGCTAAATCTAGAACAAAGCTTTAAAGGGCTCTACGCCACAGCAGAACTGACACCCCCATGTATCCTCTTATCTAGTATTATACACCAAGCACCAAAATGATTCTTACTGACCTTGTAAATGTGATAAGTCCTTCACTAAGCCCTATTACAGAAAGTTGTGTTGAAAAAGACAAATCAGCAGGAAAGAAAAACAGAATCTTATCAAGTTCCTGTCCTTCATGCTGCCCTCTCCTCAAGTCGAATATACAAAGTTGGATACCTTCATTGGTAGTGGCAGTAGACGAGAGACCCATTATAAAATCTTCTGATTCCTGCAGCTTAAAAGAAAAGCAAATCAAAATGTTTTTAATTTTTATTGATAAACAAGTAAAATGGAATTCAAACAGTAAAAGCCAAACAAAAACATAGAAGTAACTTCTAAGAGTCAAATCCAAATCTACCATAAGAGGTTTGAAGCATAAAACATGATACAAAATCGATTAGTGTTTAGTAAAGGAATTAAAAATATTCACAAGGTTAATCTATCATTTCTAATGGCTTATAAGCTAGTTTTTACATCCACTGCACCTGGAATTTTTAGGGTTAAGAAGAAAAATAAACAATATTTCTCATGTAGCTGATTTTTAACATATGGATACTTGTAATTTTACTCAATAACATTTAGTGAAAAGAAAGAATTAGTGAGTAGAAAAGAAACTAGAGAGGAGAAAAAAGAATGAGAGAATGATGTTATGAATCAATCTAGGATCACATGCTCAATCAATTACCTATATCCTACAATTACAAAAATATCCCTGATATCTCCATGTAATTACAATAATTTTTAAAATAAACTCAAATGACTAAAATGCCCCTAAACCTTTCAACTCACCCCCTTAAGTTGAACATAGATATCATACATGTTGAGCTTGCTTAGATTCTGTTTCAACTTAGTTTTAAGGACACTTTTAGTCAAGCAATCAGCTAGTTGATCTTTAGATTTCACAAACTGCAAGCACACCTCCACTTGCAATACACTCCCTAATAAAACACATGTCCACTACTATATATTTGGTCTAGACGTGTTAAATTGGATTATGAATTATGTTTATGGCTCCCTGGTTATCACAATATAGTTTCATAGGCTTTTCAAACTGTATGTCAATGTCAATCAATAGATTCTTTAACCATAGCAATTCAGAAGCACCATGTGCCTTGTATTTAGTTTCTATGCTGGATTGGACTACCATAGACAGAGGTAAAAACCCAGAGGTTGAGTGTTTGTCACTCTATGATACAATGCTTCCTCCAACAAATGCATAGTAACCCAGAGGTTAAGTGTTTGTCATCTACAGGTCTAGCCTAGTTGGCATCAGTATGAGCCTCCACCTTAATGTGACCATAGTTAGAATATAGAATCCCCTTCCTATAGGCAAGATTCATTCCACTGCATGCATTTGTGTAAACTCTAGGCTGATGCATGTACTAACTAACCAAAGTGACCACACAGGCAATATCTAGTGAAGCCAAGCAAAGATGTAGCAATCTACCTAGCAACCTCTAACACTTCCCCTTATCAGATAATATCTCACCATCATAAGCTCCCAGATCCCAACCTATGGTTAGGGTCTATAGAATTGTCCACTGGTTTGGCTCCTAGCCTTCCTTTCTGCTTGAGATTTAAAACGTATTTCCTTTAAAAAATGAAAATCCCTTTCTTTAAGCTGGCTACCCCAATGCCAAGAAAGTACCTAAGATGTCCAAGGTCTACAATTTCAAACTCTAATGTCAAAACTGCTTTTATCCCTACAATCTCAGATTATCACTAGTAACTACAATATCATCCTCGTAGACAATCAACATGGTCACAAAATTCTCTACAATCTCAGATTGTATAGTTGGCACGAGACTGTAAGTCTAATCCTTTTGAATAGCTCCGCTGAAGCTGTCAAAGCAATCCCAAGGCAACTAATTGAGGCCATAAATTGACTTCTAAAGCCTATACACCTTCCCTTGACTGTTAGGAAAGCACGCCCTAAAGAAAATTCCATATACACTTACTCTTGTAAATCACCATTGAGGATGGCATTTTTAACATCTATCTAATGCAAAAGCCATGATAAATGAGCTGCTGCAAAGGAAAAAATAACCCAGATAGAACTCATTTTTGTTAGGGCAAAAATCTCCTAATAGTATAAATCTAGGCATAACCTTTTGCTGCAAGTCTTCAATTAGAAAACAAAATCATCACCCCCTATGATCCACTACCAATGATTACAGAAGTGATGGCATTTAAAGCCTGCAAACTCTTCATATGAATTAGTAAAAAATAAGCAGTCTCTCCATCTTTCCAATAACCCCTCCTTGAGAGAACTTTTTTCCCCTTTGAAGATTCTACTATTACGTTCATACCAGACCGACTAGACCAAATGGAACCAAATTCAACAAGATGCTGCCCCTTTTTCTGAACCATTTAAAGCAATGAGATAAGAATGTTGAGGTCCCTTAGAATCACCATATGTTTTCCAAATAGCTATAAGTGTGTCCATCTGCTTTAAGTGAACTGCAATGCTTCAAAAAATGTGATAGAGATTCCTCCCCTTGACTGCAAAGATTGTCCAGCATCATTCTTTTGGATTTTAGATTATTGATAGTGAGAATCCTATCTAGAATTTCAGTACAAATAGGAAAAAAAGAAATCTTCAAAGGACCTTGATTTTTCAAATCCATTGCCATGACACTTTAGCATCTCTTGTCTCTATCAGTTTGTTAAAGAACTGACAGAAACTGGCTGACTTCTCTACATTCCACCACACCTGTTCTTCAATGTTTGATTAAGGTTGGATCCTATTAACCTTTTATAAAAAGGATGACAATTCCTCAATTTCCCAATATTGAAGATCTCTTCTCATACCAGGGGGAAATAGATTGTCAGTCAAGCCTATTCTACAATTTTCCCCAATTATCTTCTCTTCTTCATGCCTTATCTTCTACCACTTCTATTTTCCTCACAAATAATGCTCTAAAGATTGATTGATATTCCAACTCATGGACATGCCTTGAATAAATATTGTAGTCCAGCAAATATAATTGATTTTATTTTACAGCTTAAAAGGTATACCAAGATAATATGATTCCTTTTTATTGTCAATTTTGGTCTGTAAATTCCATCATTATGTTCAGTGTCCACATGGCAAGTTAACAACATCTCACCTACCAAATTTTTATGTTACAGTAGCAAGAAACTCCAATTTAAAACACAAACTTAAGTGTATCAGCCATGAGACTATCCATATCTTAGCAACAGTCAACAGAATGGTCATCTCCTTTAGGTTCCATATATTTAAGGACTTCACCATAGAAAATAGAATTTTCCTTTAAGATCTTAATATGAAGTTCATAAATCATAAATGGTGGAATAACAGAGTAGATAATGCATCATATGACCAAAAGAAACAACAATTCCTCTCATCCATCAAAACATAAGACTTCAACTTAAGTGGAACCACGGTTCACAATATTGATGATCTTTGGCGATATATCCCCATTTTCTAGGTGGTGTCGTGGTGATACAAAATTTTCTGAGAATTCTTTTTTTCCAAATATCCCCGATGTTTTTCTAATATGTTGGCGATATTTCAGATTTCATTGATAGACTATATATATAGTAAATATTTGATCAGCAAGAAAAATGGATTATATTAAACTGATAATCTGGATATGACAAGGGCATGTTGTATCCATCCATAAGGATTCATCCCAATCCCATTTCAGGAATAAGATTTACAATGGTGCACAAAACATCTGTTGATAGACAATATATTTAACATTTTAAAGTTTTAGAATATTATTAAAACTTTTTAATATCTCATTAAAATCATCATAATTTTTTAAAATTATTTCCCTAAAAGAATCAACAAGGAATTGGTGATTGGATAATTGGCTTACTACTTTGATATGATTTACTTACTAATTTACTATAACTAAAAAGAAAAAGAAAAATGTGTATAACTGCAAAAGAGTACTGTCAATCTATTCAAGATATAAAGTAACAATAAAGACAAAAGAAAAAATGACATATATAAAGAAGAGAAGATGGCTAAAGACCAAAAGGGAGACATAAAGTAACATACCCATTACAGTCTCTTAATTTTTCCTATTTGATTTTTACAGTTATTTGCTATGGTCTTGAGCCTTAAATTTGCAATTATATTTCTTCTAATGATTTCTTGAAGGTTTATTAACTAATTCCATGTTTCTAGAAAATTTTCCTATTTTTTAGATTTTCCAAATATCATAGAGAAATTAGCGAAATATCTCCAAAATTTCTCCAATTCTACATAGTAAAATCTATATAAAAGGAACAAAGCAAGTATGAAATAGCAATCTCTCACAAAATCCTGTCTTATAAAGTGTTAAAACATAGTCTTGATACATGACAGCCAAAACCAGAAAGATATGTCACGACCTAGTAAATTACAACCCGGCCAATTCATCACTGATATGCGCTTCATTCCGTCTCACTGATTCCTTATCAAGTAAGCAGCAAATTACCAGTTGTATGGAAGTTCACAAGCATTGACGTTCTCAGAACGTATTACTAGAAAATTTTTAGATTTCTTCTAACTAAAATTATAATAAATCCAAACTTCAAAACTACAACTACAGAGCTCTAATCAACGCAAACTAAGATGGAACCTCTGCTCTTTTCGATTCTTTCCCAATTACATTAATCACGGGGGAAAGTTCAATAAACGCATTACAAAGATACAAAATTTGCTGAAACTAAGTAAAAAATCAAAAAGAACAGAGACCTACCCAAATTGATGAATCTCCCTCTCGAATTCTTTCACGCAAACGATAGTTGTCAGACTCGCTTCTTCCGCATAAGCTCAGGACTGCCTCGAAGCATCCGAACATTTACGAACTAGGCATTTCCCTGAAGCATAAAAGCAAAAGATCTCCCGAGTTTTGTACATCGATTCGTTAACACACAATGACCTGGATCTACGACGTAAGCAGCATGCTTTTAATATGGAATGTATTCCACACCATGGATTGAAGATCGACGGAAGGAATAATATCTGAGTTCCCGTCTTTGGTATCTTGCGAGATATCAGATATTTAATGCCTTCGTAATCAAACCCTTGAGGCTACCTAACTTTCTCCAACGAGCAACGGTTCTCGTTTTAGACAGTTGGACGAACCGATCGCGAATCAGACCCTTTGGCCCAAAGCCCAAACGCGACGGTAGGGTGGGCAATTAGGCGGGTTTGGGTGGGTTGGGTTTCGGCGTCAACCCGTCAAAACACGAACTTTCTCTCACAAATCAACGCTATAGAAAAAAATATAGCAAGAATTATAGAAAAATATAAATTTCAGAAAAATTAAATCCATCCATATAAGTGTAAAGAAACGACTAGCAGAGCACAAGGGCTGGAATGCAATTGTAACATTGCTATTTGCTATATTAAAAAAAGCAATGGTTTCTTAATAATAAATTTGCAATTATAAGTATTCAAGTCTTAAAGACTTAAAAGAGATCATCATGTGCTCATTTTTTAAATATTGTTTAGCAAAGCATCTCATCATATAGTGATAGTTTTGAGTTTTACTTCACAGTTGTCCTTTGCTTCACATTGAGAACTCCCAATTGACTTGTATAGTAGGACCATTCGGCCCAGGAACCATCCAGGCAACCGTTTTCGTTTTACCCCAAACCCGGTCCTTGGCCAAAAATTGTTGAATCAGTCAATGACCCATTGGCCCAGGCGGTCAAATCATTGACCCATTCAATAGTTTTTGAACATTTTTATTTTTAATTATTTTTTATTTTTTAACTTTTGTTGTCAGAACGGGCCATCCGTTCGAACCAGACAGTCGAATTATTGACCTGGAAACCGGTGGTCAGAACGGTTCCATTTTCGGGTCGCTTTTTCTAGATGTCAATAATTAGACGAAATAACTTTGTAGTTATAGTCATGGGAAGGGTGGACATTGCAAGGGATTCCAAAACCTTGAAAGATAAATCCAAAGTTACCTTAAATACAGAAAAAAAAATTGGCGATAAATCCACCAAACTAGAAAAACCAAGGAAAAAAAATAAGAAAATTGAGTTCAAAGTTCCGCTTTGAGATGGAGCTAAACATACATGCAATCAAAAAAAGAGCCAAAGCAGATCATCTTGTAAGAAAATTAAAAAAAAAAAATGCACAAGAAAATCCAAAGAAAAAACAAAAAGGAAGAAATAAAGTGGTGGCAAACCCGCAAATCCTAGACCGTTTTGGAGGACTTTGAAGAATAAGACCAAACACAAAAAAAAAAAAAAAAAAAAAGTAGAAAATGAGAAAAAAGGGAACATATCGCACACACTCGAATAAAACCCACAGTAGAAGAAACCTTTGAATAGTGAAAATCCAAAAGCATAAAAACCATGGTTTTCGAACCGCTGTTGACCCGGAGATGGACATTTCGGCCCGGGAACCATCCAAGAAACTAGTTCCGTTTTACCCCAATCCCAGTCCCTGGCCAAAAACCGTTGAATCGATCAATGACCCATTGACCCGGCGGTCAAACCGTCGACCCGTTCAATGGTTTTTGGTCATTTTTTATTTTTTTAATAGGGAACTATCCAGGCAATTGGTTCCATTTTATCCCAATCCTAGTCCCTGGCCAAAAGCCGTTGAATTGGTCAAAGATCCATTGACCCGGGTGGTCAAACCGTTGACCCATTAACCCGTTCAATGGTTTTTGGCCGCTTTTTATTTTTTGTTGTCAGAACGGGCTGTTTGTTCGAACCGTCAACTCGAAAACCGGTGGCCAAAACGGTTTCATTTTTTGTCGTATGAGTTACACGCTCGAATGACATAACACGCATGATATTGTTTAATGGACCTTACACACTCAATTTTTTGCATGTAATTTTTGTTGTCAGAATGGGTCGTCCATTCAAACTGGATGGTCGAACCGTTGTTGACATGTTCCATGGTTTTTGGCCATTTTTTATTTTTTTTAATTTTTGTTGTCAGAACGGACCGTCCGTTCAAATCGGATGATTGAACCGTCGACCCAAAAATTGGTGGCCATAATGGTTCCGTTTTTGGGTCGTATGAGTCACATGCTCGAATGACATAACACATATGTACTACTTAATGAACCTTATACACTCAATTTTTTGCTTGTAATTTTTGTTGTCATAATGGATCATCCGTTCGAACCAGATGATCAAACTGTTGACCTGAAAACCGGTGGCTAGAATGGTCAAACCATCAACCCAAAAATCGGGTGGCAGATAAGATATATAAGATTCTTATATTTGTTTCTTGTAATTTGAGAATTTTCAATGAATATAATATATATTAAAGGGAAATACTACCATTTGGTGAAAGGGGAGACCACCCCTTGCCCTTATATATATATATATAAGATAAGATGTTAGTTCTAGATTTTATTAAATCCATCACATTCCTCATCGTAGTGGTTCTCTAAAGGTGATGAAGAGTGTGATCCTTCTAGATGTACCCTCTATTGATCTCCCTCTGCTTGAATGCCGACAATGAAGTTTGCCATGGTCAATGAAATGACCAAGGCGTCATCGTGCAGGAACTAGACTCCCTTTAGGTCTTCATCTAGAAAGGATATGATGTCCTTAGGTTGTGACTTCTTCAATGGTCACTAGGGGTGTTCAAATTGTGAGCCAATTTGACCAAATCGGATCGGCCCAACCCAATTTGGTCGGTTTTTTTAAATCACTAGCCGGTTTTGGTTCTTGCAAGTATATAAACCAATAGATCGGATCGGTTTCGGTTTTCACACTTGAAAATCGAAATCAAATCAAATCGAATTGAACATAAAATTCACTAATGTAGAGTGTTTCCATCCTTGGCTATTGGCCTATTGCTTCTTACTTTCTTAATCCTAGTCATTTCCTATCCTAGTAGTAGTCGATCAAGACTACAATCAGTCTTGAATCCGAAAGTAAAAAGAAAGATTTCAAATGGAGAAAAGAAAAAGAAAAGAGGGAGAAAGCAGAAGCACACGAAGGGTTTTAAGAAAAGGAGAGAGAGGATCGAAATAGAATTAATCTGCCGACCCACTCTTAATATTTATATGTTTACTAATTGTAAAAAAATGTTGAATTGCCCTTAATGCTTACATGGAAAATAAACTAATAATAAAACTAAAATAACAAAGTTGTAACAACAAAACTAAAATAACTACCAACTAACACTGACATAACTAACAAAGGATACATGTTGTGCTGCCATACGAACATAGTGGGGACCACAACCGTGAGGTCTATATCAGTATTCTCTACACTCCCCTTCAAGTTGGGAATAGATATTTGTCATTCCCAACTTGCATAGGTCTGCCTCTAACTTCTTCCTTGGAACAACCTTGGTGAGAAGATCTGCGAGCTGCATGCTGGAGGTGATATACGGGAGACACACTTCTTGAGATGAAACCCTTTCTCTGACAAAATGTCGATCAACTTTGATATGCTTAGTTCTGTCACGTTGTACCTGATTGTGAGCTATATTAATAATAGCCTGATTATCACAATACAACATTAATGGCTTCTCATAATCAATACCCAACTCTTCAAGTAATGACTTCAGCCATAATCAATATCCAACTGTTGGGGGGGGCATTTATGTCATTTTTTTAACCCCTCATAAGCAAAAATGCAAAATACACAAATAACCCCCTAATATGGCTGTTTATAGCTGTTGGGGGGACATTTTTATAACGCCCCCCCAAAAGCTGAAACTAGCCGTTGGGCCCCTTTTGGGGAGGGGGCCCAATGGCTATATAGCCTATTTTTCGGGCGGGCCACGCTCGGCCCGTGAGGGGCTGTGCTGCGGGCTGGGACATGCCAACACGCGGGCGTGGGCGGCACGACATTGTCATGTCGTGCCGGGCCCAGCCCGATTTACACCTCTACTTTCCACCAAAATGGAAGAATGGTTCCATTTTGGGTTAATTTTAAAAGTATGAAAGAGTGGAAGTTAATACCCTAAATATAGGACTTATCGATAGGGAAGTAAAGGAGGAAAGATGTAGTGGTTCAAATTACATTTTGTAATAATTAGAGAGTGATTAAAATTAATTCTCATTTTTTAAAAAATGTTTTTGTTTAATACGAAGAATATGTAATATTAATGCATGTCCAAATATTTCTATAAAATGTATAAAACATTCTTTATTTTTATTTTTTATTATTTAATTTATGACATAATAAAAGTTACTTATTTACCAGACGGAAATGCAATTCCAATATATTGTTTGGATATTGATTTTTAATATTGTGCTCAAATCAACTAATTAGATTGATCAATTCACCATCGAATTCAGGATTATAGGTCTATTTACCACCAAACCACTTGCCTATGGTGACCTAACTAATTAAATCATTAAACCATTTAACATGGTTAGTGGGGTCATGCATACATTAATGCTCTTTTTTTCTCCTATTTTTTATCCTATTTTCATCATTAATTAAAATAATTCTCATTTATTACACTTTTTCTAGGATGAATATATAATATTATAGAATGTGCCTAAATTTATCTACAAATTTCTACATTTTGTAGAACTTTATGTATTTTTTTATTTAACTATAATATCATGTGTTGATCCATTGGACATGGATAGTTGAACCACTAACCCACCACTTGGATGGAAAAACCATTTTGCTTTTTTTGGTTAATTTTAAATCATGTATACCATTTTCATCATTAATAAAAGTAATTCTTATTTTCACATTTATTTTTGTTTAGAATGATGAATATATAACAATAGAAATGTATTGAAATGCTTTATACAAGGGTTATACTTTTCTTTGAGTTTCTAAATATAATTTTAATATTTATTACTTAGTTATGGCATCATAGATTGATCCATTTGACTTGGAAGGTTAAATCATTAACCTACCATCTAGATATGAAAATGGTTTCATTTTCAAATTGATTTTAAAATTTGCATTTCATTTATATCATTAATAAAATAATTATTATTCATCACACTTATTTTGTGTATATGATTAATATATAATATTATAGATATGCCCAAAAATGTTTCATATTTTTGTGTACTATTCTATTTAAACATTTTTATTTTTAATTGTACATCATGGATGGATTAAGCCATTTGTCCTA